CTGCAGAATGATCATTATTGCTGGTTATCCTCTCCAAAAATCATCTCAGGAACAGAGGAAAGCTTTGGTTCAAGCCAGTATCTATTAATTTACCTGCATTTTGCCTGACTGCTCCTCCTTCTTCTTCTCCCCACTCGCTGCAATTGTTGCAAAGTACTGGATGACACGCTTTGTGTTCACAGTCTTCCCGGCACCGGATTCTCCGCTGTGAAACCAAAGAGAGAAGCAGAGAGCGTGTGGTCAGGCGGGAGGTCCCTCAGCACCGGGCAGCCCCAGAGAGACCCGAGAAGGGATCTACATACGTGATCAGGATTGACTGGTTCTCACGATCTGTGGAGAGACAGAGACTTTTCTGAGTGCTGCTCAGTTGTAAAGAAATCAAAATCCATGAGGGAAATTAACTGTGAACTGAAGCTTCATTAAGAGTGTAGGAACAATATGTAGCTAGTTCCCAGTTAAAATGCCCTGGAAATGTAGCACTTGATCCCTTTCAGCATTGTTTGGTGCTCCCCCAGTAAAAAAAAAAAAAAAAAAAAAAAAAAAAAAAAAAAAAAGTTTTATTTGGATACGGTTGTAAGATAAATTATACTAGCTTCTTTGAATCAAGATTGATATTTCTGTATATAAGATGTTATAACCAGATGTTATTTTGTAATATCAATATGAGTAAAGTTACTAAAACATGCAACATAAAATAATTGACACTTTCTGGGGACTCAAGAGCCTTGAAAGATCAAACCATAAGCCCTCTTGAGTTCAAGGATTTTTTTGAGCCAGGCATAATATAATTGTATGTTATAATTTGCATAGAATTTGCATTAATTAATCTCCTTATTTTAGTAATTGAAGTAGACCTTTAAGACATATAATTTTCTTTAATAAAGAATATCCAGGACTTAAGTATGTTGTATGGAATATGTGATTACCTTTGCTTTTTTAAAAATGTTTCAACTGATAGCTGTTTTGAGGCTTCCTGGATGTTCAAATGTTAGACAGAAGGAAATAAATAATTCTAGTCTTGCTTTCTATACAACCTTTGATTTTTATACAACACTTGAACTTATACATTGCCGTTATATATTCCCTCAGTTTTCTCTTCACTGTCATCAAGGTATCCTTACCTACTTAATTTTTGTTAATACAGAATTAATTTCATGCCTATAAATATAATTTTATCCATTGGTCAACTTTTCCAGGTCCAGTATCTCCTTTTTTAATGTGAGAAAACTAGAACTGACTGCATGACTCAAGACATCAGTGTTCGACTTTTTAATGTTCTCTTTTTATTCCCCCCAAGTAATTACTAAAGTTCATTTTGTTTACAGCCCTAATGAGCACTGAGCCAAAATTTCTGTAGTATTATTCACTGTAAGTCTGAATTATACTTCTTCATAAGTAATAGGCATTTCTTAGCTAACCATTCAGCCAATCTTTCATTTTCCATCGTATACTTTTAGGCTTCCTCTTCTTCATCTGACAATTTCTTATCACTTGGGCTTCCAAGAGTAAAATGTCTGATAGTGCATTTATTCAGATTCAATTCATTCAGAACTTCAATTTCTAGACATTCCTACTTTCTGACATGGATATTAAGTTAGTAATGTTTGATTCCATGCTTTTTGTTAATATAGAGCACCAACTTATTGCTTATTCTGCTTTCCATCAAACTGTACTGCACAATTACAGAACTTAAATTCTAGATTTGCCTCTACAATGTTACCAATATGCTTTCTGTGATATTTATTTAAAGATGGGCATTCTGGCTTACTCAGCTGACACATAACATGTAAATATATCTCCATATGTTCACAGAGTATCTGCAGAGAAAAGGAAGATTTTTCCTCAAGTGCACACTATGACATCATTTGAACACCTATCAAGCAACTCACCATTTAACATGAACTGATAGGCATTGTCAGAGATGGAGAAGATGTGTGGAGGGGCCTCCTGGCGCTTCTTGCCTCGGTAGGCCAACACCACCTCCGGGTTGTACACCGGCAGCCACTTGTAGGGGTTGACAGTGACGCAGAAGAGACCCGAGTAGGTCTGTGAGGAAGGGAGACAGCACGTTGGCTTCCACCTACCCTGGCAGAGCAGTTCCTCCTCGCTGCCCAGGGGAAGACTGCTGCTGGTACTTACATAGATCATCCAGGCTGCGTAACGCTCTTTGAGGTTGTACAGCACAGCGGGTTCGTGGAGGTGGGTCATCATGGCCATGTCCTCGATTTTATCGTACTTGGGAGGGTTCATGGGGAAGATCTGATCTTCCTTCACGGTCAGGGTCTGTCAGAGGCAGACCATATGTCATCTAAGAGCTGAGGGTGGGATTCAAATGGTGTCCTTCAGCTTTGTTTCTTACTCACCTCTCCACCTTCAGTCTTGACAGTGACCTTCCCTGACTCCCTGCTCTGGATTGTCCCTTTCACAAAGGATTCCTTAGGATGCACCACAAAGACCGATGACTTGGCATCAAAAGGCTTGTTCTGGGCCTCAATTCTCTCCTTTTCTGACTTTCGGAGGTAGGGAGCTGCCTCCCCAAAGACGGCCATCTCAGCATCTGGAGAAGTCATGTCTGCACTTAACTGAAGACACGTCAGCAGAAGACTCTGTGGTGGAAGAAAGACACTTTCCATCAGTTAGACAATAGTTTTCCATGCCAGTGATGAAATCTCTTACAGTTTCTATCTTTCCAGTATTTAAACTAGTATGTCATTTTCGACAACACTTTTTGAAACCTAGTTTTGATTTGAACACATAAGTACTTACATTCCACTTGAGAATGAGACACATTTAATATTTTAGTCTTCTATGGACAGAATTTTTATTAATGATTATCATTTTGCAATTTTACTATTGGTATACTGAAGAACTAAACATAAAACTAATCTCTTGCTTCTGTTGCCTTTAATTATCAGTGATGAGTCTGCAAGAAGTTCTTTCATTGACCATGATCTGTGGAAAGTGAATTTACTTATTTTCACACTGTATATGCCTTATCAGGCTCAGTCCAATTCTTTCTGCAATGGGTATGAATATGAAAAAAGGAATGAATATAGTAAAATTATCTCAAGGTAACTGGACTAACAGTTAATAACTTGGGGTGTTAACGTGTCATTACATCAGATGTTCTAAGTCAGTAGCTAGTATATTAACAAGATGGTAACTTTCTTCTTATGTTCTATAGTATTCCAGAGATAGATTTTAACTTGGAAATAAAAAGATGGCACGGAAAACAGATTGAAAATTCCAGCTATCATAACCAAGCCCTCCCTTCAGAAATAATCAGACATGTAAGATAAAGAGCAAATGCTCAGTCTCTGTAATCCTACAGAACTCATACACTTACCTTGAAACTTTCAGTGAGAGCAGGGCAAAACAGTCCCAAGGAGACTTTATAGACTCCAGTACGCAGATGCTCTGGATTCTTCCTCTTTCTTCGGTCAAAGCATTTTTGGCCAACCTTCTTTGGCAAAGCATTGTTTGGCAGACTTACCTAAAGACATAATTGTCATTTGATTTGACTGGATATAATTAGAAATTTTTTATATCTTACCAACTATGTGGCTATATCTACTATAAATAATTTGACAAGACAATTAAGGAAGGAATCTCGATCAGTTAAGGCACTTAGAGAACTTGGATGAAGGACTTATGGATTATGCTGACATATTTCTGGATGAGTTTCTGATCCATTAAAGATAGCTTGTTTCGTATGCAGTACTGCAACAATTCAAACTATACAACGCAGGTAGTAGCACCTATCTTCTTCACACGATGCTGTGTTTATAAATAAACCCTTGGAAAAAAAAAAAAAAAAAAAAAAAAAAAAAAAAAAAAAAAAAACCACAACTATATATCATTGTGACTAAAACCAAAGTGTTTTTCTTGAAAACAGAAAACCAGAAACCTCTTGTAGCTCAAATTCCTGCAGGGACAATATATCAACTCTTGAAATGTAGTTCATGTGTAGACTGCTTCATGTGATTTCCAGGGTCTTGAGATAAATACAGATCCTGATGGATATAATAGCATGTTACATTTTAAATATATTAACTTTCCCAGAAATGTGAGGTATCTAAAGACATTCTGCATGTCCCTAACAATGAACAAAGAGTTGCAAATTGTTGTGGCATGTACTATATAACACATAAGGTTAAAAGGTGTCTTCTGATTTTAACAGCTAAAAATCACAGCATCCTCATGTCTACAAAAAAGTGCTTTCAGCTGAGCAAAAAGATGAAACTACCGATTTACAGAGTTCAACCAGAGAAAATATGTAACAACTCTTACTTGAGCTGCTTTCAGTTGTGTCCAATGTAAACATCCTCTTCCCCTGGTCGTTGGCATTTTGGTTATTAAAAGAGCTCAGTGGATAACATATGCATGGGTGGTGCACAGATCTGATGTTATATCCAGCATCAGATAATGTTCTGTGCTTGTAAAGACCATTCCAAGGAGGGCTGCAGCACTGCAGCACCCACATTTCTGGAGCCCAAATCCATAGCTCACCACTGGGCTCCATGTGCAGGACATGGGGAGGCTGATGGAAACACCCTGCCCAGGTGGGGCCCAGAGCCAGGCAGTGGGAAATGGCGAGCGCAGGGGTGCATCTGAAGTCCTGCCTCTCTGGGGAGCAGGCACCAAGGGGTGCTGGCAGGGCACCTCCCTCCAGCGGGACCCAGAGCACAAATGCTCCAGCATGGAGGCAGCAGGCTTTGCTCTGAGGGGCTTCTGCAGCTGAGTCCCCGGGTGGTGGGCTGCCACTTGGTGTCCAGCAGCCCAGTGGCTATCAGGCCTGGCCGAGGAGGGCACAGAGAGGTCTTGGCAGCTCAGAGGTCAGGGTTTAGAAGACCATGCAAGAAGATCAAGGGATGGCTGAGTCCTCTCTCAGGGTGTGAGTTCTGAGTTCTCCCCTCAGGTTGGGAAATGAAAATCTTTAACTTCCCAGTGGCCAATGACAAAGTCAGTCTCATCAGTAGAGCTCTTCTGGGGTTTTGATGTTGGGTTGCACAGGATGTGGACTCAGCTGTGTAACAAGCAGGAGTGCGGCCCACATCTGCTCTGCCCACACAAGCCAGTGTTAGAAAATAAAATGTTTTTTGAAGGTGCTCTTAGACAATGGTAATATTTTCTATGTGAGATAGCCCATGAAATAGAAGAAGAATAATTGTTCCTCACTCATTGTTCCTCATAACTCCTCCCCCACTGCCTGAACAACACAGTAGGTCAGCAAACACAATTTTTAGGTCAGTCAATAGGGCTATGAAGTACCAAAGAAAGTATAAAATAGCTTAACACTAAGATGTCTCCAGGACTAAAAGGAAGGACCACACAAGTAACATGGTCCACTTAGTTAAGCACAGTAGCTCACAGAGAATGACTAGATATGTTTTAAAAATCAGGCTGTCAGATGGGGAGTGCTGAGACTGCATGGTTGACTCTCCTGGAGCTGTGCATAACAAGATACAAAACCTTCAGTAGCCTCTTGGAGACATCAACTGAGAATACTTGAATCAATTAATGTTACTTTCACATCCTGCCTTAACTTGCAGAATATCTTCAGAAGGCTAGCCTTAAAATAAGGTAATATATCAGAGTTACCAAACAGACAATCATTTTGGTTCCTAAGTTTCCTGAAAAGAAATAGTGTTTCTTCTTCATGAGTGAGCTTAATCTTGTTCTCTATAAAGTATGGCTCTTTTTTACTTAAATTCATATATTTTGCCTAGATATGAGAGAATCAGAATCATCAAAATAAGTATAATTGAAAATGGATACATGCATGCCAGAAGAAGAAAACTCAGATGAAACAAATTTGTGTTTTGAGTTCTTGCTCTAAATTATCTAAGTATTACTAGGGAAGAAAGGAGGCATACAGAAAGATCCTTCTCAGTTCCTCTACAAGCAAGGAAAGTGCCTCTTATCTCCTGCAGGAAGGACCTGAGCACTGTTGGAACAATCACCAGTGCATAAGAGCAATCCATGTAAATTGGGTGTGAGCAGAAGACTCATGGATCACAGTTGCTATTTTGCATCATGTAGGAACTTGCACTGTGTGCCTCTAAATTGTCTGGCAACTACGGACTGTAAAAAGATAAATCCATTTGGTCTGTGGTTTTAACTTATGATGAACACTAGACATTGAACATGCAGTGAGTGAGATGACTTCAGCGTAAGACTAAGGAACTAACCAGACATGAAGTGGTATAAGGGCATCTGATATCTTCCTGAATTACTTATTATGGACACATATCAACAAATTCTTCAGCCCTTTCAACTGTGTCTTGACAGAAATACTCAGGAATTTACTGTGATATTGTGTTCCTGACACCCCAGAAAGTGGATATTCCCTATCTCTTCTCCTTGCTCTAGGATTAACAGGTTGTGAACTCTTTACAGGCAAACAAGCCTATTATAATCTGATTAAGAGACAAAGGAACATTGCTTACGTGGGAGCACTGCAAGATTTCCCCAAGAACTGGACTTAGATGTCTCCATTCAGTAAATAGATTACCCTCACTAGTAGGTCTAGAAAGCTGCTAAAATTAAGAGTTTAAGACCCTTCATAGGTTCTACATAGGCAGTAAAGCCTCTGGAACAATTGCTAGTAGCATGCAGTGTGCATATATGTGCAGATTACCGCTCAAAAAAGAACAAGGTATTGTTAAATGGAAGCTCAGCTTTCAATTGAGCTCTTGTTACTGTTTGTTCTCTCAAGCTTTGCTTCATAACTGAGAGTTTAAAATATCATGGCAAGAAATTGGTATTAAATCACATTTAGGAAGATCCATAAAAGTTTGCAAAATTCATCATATGGTTGCAGATTTAGGAGTTTGTCTTTTTACTAAAAATTCTAATTACAAGTGTTCTTCAAAAGTATACCCATGTAGTACACACTACACTTAATGCACTTGCCTGATTTTCTATTAGTTGGGTTATACAATTGAGGTGATTGCTCATTTATCAAGCTCATCAACGATGCAGATGTTCAACGAGATTAAACGGTAAACTGCTCAGTGCTTGGAATTAAACAATTCAGTGCCAATAAAATAAATGACACTGTAAATTCAGTAAGTCTTGCTGCACTGAATGGTAGTTAAAATCTTTTACTAAGTGTGAAGAGAAAGAAGACATATTTCACATTTAGCATTTCATTTGAAAACTGCAATATCATACAATTTTTTTTCCACTTCTCATCAACCAAAAATTACCTGCTTTTCACCGATGCTATTAAAATGCATGTATTTTAAGCAAGAAAAAATGATTGATAGCAATGGCAGCTGTGACAGAGCATGTGATGTCAATCACAAGATAGTCATGAATTCCCAGTATAGGTTTAAATAGGAAAGACCTTTGCCACTTGGATTTGATTTGAAGGTGTTGCAAAAGGAAAAGATTGATAGACAATACATATAAAAGAGACTAAGAGGAAAAAGTCCACTGCTTCTTTGCCAGTGACGATGACTGTGCATAATTATCATTTGTAACCATATTCTCTAACAGTTTTCTATAGACTAATAATGATATTAATGAAAGCTTGCAGGCAGCCTATCCTTGAAAGCCCATGTTG